AGAGAGAGAGAGGGTTTGAGGTGGGTAGCATACCAGAAATTGGTCGAGATGCTGACGGTCGTGGGGATGAAGGATGGGATTTGGGTTTCGAAGGCGGATGGCGGAGTAAGCTCTGAGGAGGTTATGAGAGCGAGCGAGCTGTGCATCTATGAGAGGGAGCTGATCAATGGGGGTTGCCACTCTCAGGCACCCAACATGGGCGGCCAATAGCTGCTCATAAAGCGGATGCCCTGCAATCTCCGCCTTCACCCTCTCTCTCTCCTCCTCCTCTGCAACCCCCTCACCCACCATCTCTCTCTTCCCTCAGGTTTTCCCCCTCTCTCTCTAGAAATCAATCGCTCCCATCTCTAGAAACGGGAGATGGAAGATGAAGATGAAGAGAGAAAAGGAGGATGGCAGGGGTTTTGAGTATGGAATCAAGGGGACCACTGAGTGGTGGCAGAGAGAGAGGGAGCAGGAGGGGCAGCGCCTCATTTACTGTAGAGTGGGCATAAAGCAGGCGGTTTTCTCGTTAAAGGTGAGGCTTCCGTTTCCTTTTCTGTGCTTTGTATTGGGATCTGAGTACCCAACTTTTTCGCAATCCCACGCTCTTTTCCGCCTCTCATATATGTTTTCCTGCATGCATCTCTCTAACTTTCTCTCTCTAGACTCTAGAGCCTGCCTGCGCAAATTAGCCTCTTTTCAAAACGCAACTGCCGTGTACTAACTAACAGAGAGAGAAATTTGTAGAGAGAGAGAGCGGAGGGGGGGGGGGAATTTTTCTATCTACTATCCACCTTCCCTCAACCGAATCATTACACCAAAAAAAAAAAAAGTCCTTTACAATGCAGAATATATTTTTGGCCCTGTTATGTTACGGCCACCGCATTTAACTTCTCCTCTAAGTGATTCCTTCCTTTCTTGTACTATACCTGGTGGAACCCTTCCACCCAAGAAAACGCCATCACGATCTTAGGACCAGCATTCCTGATTTAGAGAGAGAGAGAGAGAAAGAAAGTTGTGATTTTTAGAGAGAGAGAGAGAGAGAGAGAGGCGAAGT